CATCTGGGAGAGGGGGTCAGGTAGGGGGTGTCGGGGACATACCTGGCAGTTTTCATAGTGGTTCCTGGAGCAGCTCAGGGGCCTGTGTTTAGTCCATTGAGCATATCTCTGGCCCTATGTGACCATTAATTTTTTAAAATGAACTTTATTTTATATCTAGCAAATAATAAAAGGTAAAGGTAAAGGCCCTCCTGTTGTTCATCGATTTGCTCAAGCGGGCCCAGTAACGTCTCCATTAGAGACTTTGTTGTTACTGTGTTTGGCATATCGAATACATCACGGGTAGCTTGCCAGGCTCTGCTGTGCGGGTGAGATACTTTCGGTAGCTTGCCAGGCTCTTCGAGAGGGGCGGAGGAATCGAACTCGGGTCGGCCATGTTGGCTGCATTGGCTGCCTGCAAGGCAAACGCCCTACCGCTGTGCTATCACTCTAGCCCCAGCAAATAATAGATGCACTAATATTCATGGAAATAGAGATTTTATAGCATTTGAACACAAATGTTCAATTATCTTTATATATATATATAATTTTATTTATTAAATCACTGTGAGAGCAGTTACAAAACGTTTGGGTTTAAGTCTCAGTCATACAATGAAACACCCGAACCTTCACCAGCACTCGTTCTTCACCACCAAAAACCCCAGTATACCCCCATCCCACACCCACTCCTTATCTGTGAGGCAGATGATTTCCACATTACTCTCTCTCTCTCTCTACTTTGATCACGTTCAGTATTTTGACACCAGACCCACCATCATTATTTGGGATTTTACCCCAACACTCAGATCTGCCGAAAAGGCAACAGTAGACAATTTGTTTTCTATTGCTGGTTATAAATAACATATGATGTCGTGGGGTTGCAGTAGTGGCCGTGCAATTTTGAAATTCTGAAATTTTAGCAATTAAATCTGGAGGGATTTCTGCCAAAACCCTCTGGGTTCTGAGATTTGTCCCTGAGTCTCTGGGATCATAGCCGTTAAGCAGCTTGATCAGGAGCCAGAGAGACCGTTTGTGGGCAGCGACTCGGGATCTTGTTGGGATGGGAGGGGGTGGGGGGAAGGGCCGACTCCCCCTCCATCCCGTGAGGCCCCACGTGTCTTGTCACTGCGGGCCCAAACCTGACTGTCCAGTGGCCTCTGGAGGATGACAGCCATTGGGCCACCAGGGGAAACAGGCCAAGGCACGAAACCTATTCCCATGTGGGGTGGCCCAGCACCGGTAACCTACTGCAGGGACCGGACACATTTCTGCCAAAAGCCATTGAGTTTTGAGATTTGTTTCTGAGTCTCTGGGATCATGGCCGTTAAGCAGTCCAATCAGGAACCAGAGAGGCCATGCCTCCAATTATATAGCTGAGCCGGAGGTGGTTTGTGGGTGTGTCTCCCACATACCTAACTTTTGGTTGTTTACTTTCTTGGTAAACTTTTCCCCAAGTTTATGGGGTCTGGTCAAAGGCACAGCAGCAATTTTGGGGTATCTGGAAGTCTGAAGGCTCCATCAGGCTGCTGATGCACTTGCCTCACAGGTACAGAGTGACCTGCTGGCAGCACCATACCCCCTTCAATTATCTTTTAATGCCATATTAATTTTAGAATGTAAGCATTTTTTTCTTGTTCAAAGCATACTGGAGTAAAACTATTTCTATGTTAGACACTTTTAGTACATAATGTATCTTTGAGAACATAAAATTCCTTTATTTCCCTATTCTGCTTCTGTTAATTATATTTACAATATATCATGACAGTTGTGTAGTAGAAACATTGCAATGATCATTTCTCTTTGCTATTTTACATTTTAGTTCTAGTTTTGGGGGCCACACCCAGCAGTTTTCTAGGCTTCTTTCTGGCTCTGTGCTCAAGGATCACTCTTGGTCGTACTCAGGGGACCATATGTGGTACCAGGACTGAATCAAGGTTAGATGCATATAAGTATCTTACCTAGCAGTGTTCATTTTAATTTTTTTTTTTTTTTTTTTGCTTTTTGGATCACACCTGGCGATGCACAGGGTTTACTCCTGGATCTGCACTCAAGAGTTATTCCTGGCGGTGCTCAAGGGACCATATGGGATGCTGGAAATCGAACCCGGGTTGGCCGCGTGCAAGGCAAACGCCCTACGTGCTGTGCTATCTCTCCAGCCCTGTTCATTTTAATTTTATTTTTACATTTATTTATTTTTGATTTTAAGTGAGAGCACCACAACTGGTGCTCGGGCTGGAGCAATAGCACAGCGGGTAGGGCGTTCGCCTTACAAGCGGCCAACATGGCCAACCCGAGTTCGATTCCTCCGCCCCTCTCGGAGAGCCCGGCAAGCTACCGAGAGTATTCGATATGCCAGACACAGTAACAACAAAGTCTCCAATGGAGACGTTACTGGGCCCGCTCGAGCAAATCGACGATCAACGGGAGGGCCTTTACCTTTACCTTAACAACTGGTGCTCAGGGATTACTTCTGACTCTGCTTATTGATGACTCTTGGTGGGGCTCAGGGAATTAAAGTGGTGCCAGAGATCGAATCCAGATCAGCCATGTGCAAGGCAATTCCCTACCTTCTGTACTATCACTTTGTCCCTCTATGTCCATTTTTTAAAAAAGGAAATAAACATCACCTCCTCACCTCTCCTTGAGGAATCGACCCCCTCCGCATTTTTATGTGACTCAGAACGGCATAGTGTGTCTGCAATAACATCCACAGTCTCCTGGAAATGTGGCTTTCAGAGAAATCATGGTAGATGGGACTTGGTTCGTCCTGCAAAGTCACTGCGTTCAGTGTCTGGGGTTGGATGTGGCTTTGTCTTAATGGACAGCATAACAGAAGGGCGTTCAACAAAAGCATGATGTTCTACAGCCTGCTGTCATGCTACCGAGGCCATTCTGTGGCTTACAGGGCTATTCCTGGTACTGTTTTTGTGTCCCACTTTGAGAAATTTAAGTGCGTGGAGTAGTTGAGCCACGCCCAATGGTGCTCAGGGCTTACTCCTGGCTCTGTGCTCAAGGATCACTCCTTGGGGGTGTTCAGGGCTGGGAATCAACCGGGAGGGGCTGTGTGCGAGGTGAGTGCCTTAAGGCCAGGTGGGGTTGTGTGCAAGGCAGTGCCTTACCTCTGCACCGCGTCTCCAGTACTCCCCTGCTGTCTAATTCCTTTGCACCTTGACAGAACTCTTTCTAAGCAATGATTTCTGGGAGTCTTTTCTATTTCTGTGCTCGAGTGGAACCTTAGCATGTGCCTGTGCTGTTGAGTACCATGCTATGACCTATCAGGGTTTACGTTTCTCTCACTCCCTCCGCTCCTTGCTGCGGTGGTAGACTGCATGCCTGGGTGAGGGTTCATACAGGCATGGCTGAGGTCTCAGATATCTCTCACTTCTTACTGGCCACCAAGGATGCTCTCGGATGTGGGTGTTGTCTCATTCCACACTGGTGACAGTTTCATTCTACACTGGCTACACCCCAGGGCCCCACTCTTACTTTATTTCATAGTTTGCATTTTGTGTTTGGGTGCTCAGAGATAACTCCTAGCAGGGTCCAGTGGGACATATGTGATACTGGGGATTGTGTGAGAAGTAAGTGCCTTCCGCTGTACTATTTCCCAGGTTCTATTTTATTTTGTTTTGTTTTATTTTGGCTTTTTGGGTCACACCTGGTGATGCACAGGGATTACTCCTGGCTCATGCACTCAGGAATTACTCCTGGCGGTGCTCAGGGGACCATATGGGATGCTGGGAATCGAACCCAGGTCGTCCGTGTGCAAGGCAAACGCCCCACCTTCTGTGCTATCGCTCCCGCCTCAGCTCCTATTTTATTTTAAAAGTACATTTAGAGTGTCTTTATATAGATCTTTGGGAGCTTCTCAGCCTTTTTACAGATTGCCAAGTATTCAGTAGGATGAAGGTACTGTGAGCAGAGACAAAATTGTTTCCATTTTTCTACCTGCCTTCTTAGCCAAATTAACAAGAGAAAAGTGGCAGTTTATTGCCATGTTTATTGAATGTTTACAGGAGAGAGAGCCAAGAAACAAAGAGGAACTACCTACGTCGCTGAGAATTCAGTCTTAAGGAGAGGTAGGGCCTTCTGTGTGATCCCTGGCACTGCCAGAAGCAACCCCAGAGCAAGGCTGAGGCTTGCCCCAAGCACCACCAGGCATCACCTCACAGGCATCCCCCCAACCAAAAAATATCCCCCATTGGGCCATCAAATAAAGGATGGAAGGAAGGAAGGCGCTTGTAGCCACACTCTTCCTTGGGTGGCAACGCCGATGGCATCCTCTCAGGCAGGAGGTCCTTTGGAGGAATTTTTTTAATTTTATTTATTTTTTTTTCTGCTTTTTGAGTCACACCCAATGGTGCACAGGGCTTACTCCTGGCATTGCACTTAGGAATTACTCCTGGCAGTGCTCAGGGGACCATATGGGATGCTGGGAATCGAACCTGGGTCGGTCACATGAAAGGCAAACGCACTATCCACTGTGCTATCGCTCCAGCTCCTGGAGAAAATCTTGACTTAAGATGGGTGGAGAGTCTTTGCGTGAACTGTTTCTAAACTCCCACAGCTCCAGTGGTCATTATACCCAAGTGGCCGATCTGGGGGTGGCACATTCTATGGCCATTCAATGTCATGCTTTATTTAACTGTCCCTTAAAATTTGCTCATCTTGGGGCCAGAGTGAGAGTATAGTGGGCAGGTACTTCCCTGCATGCAGCCACCCGGGCTTCAATCCCTGAAATCCCAAATGGTCCCCTAAGCACTTCCCGGAGCCACCCCTGAGCACAGAGCCAAGAGTAAGCCCTGAGCACCGCCAGGTATGGCTATTAACAAAAAACCATAAAGCTCACACAAAAAATAAACTGACCATCTAAAATATTGCCAGGCTCTATCTGAAGAGTTGCCAGTGACAGGCTGAGGTGTTCTATCCTGGACCCACTGGGCTCAGGGCGTCCCTGCTGGCCTCTAACTGATGCTTTTACTGTGTGGTCACAACTAATGACAGGCATTTGGGTTTGGCAGGAGCTGATGACCGTCTTCCAGCTCTTGCACTGGAATGGAAGCCTCAAGGCACTTCGTGAAACTAGGTGCTCCCGACAGGTGAGACTCTCCTGCCAAGGCTGCGCGTCTGTGGGCATCGGGCTTGTCATCTTTCTAGAAGACTCCTTTCTCTGGTGTCTTCCATGTTTAAATGCAGTGACTTAGTTACAGAGTAAAAGAGAAGACGAGAAAAAAAATTAGTGCATAGCCTCAGTGGAGTCCCAGGCTGGCCAGACAAGCCCATAAGAGGCAGGTGAAGGAGCCAGGTCTGGTCGGGACCTCACAGTGGGGGGCTCTTGCAGACAAACTGGGGTGCTAAGGCAGACACAAACTTGACTGTCTCGCCTGCCTTATCTGCTCGAAATGTGCACCTACTTCCAGTCTCCAATGTGAAGAGCAAGTAGGTGGGTGGGACACACTTTTTCTTTTAGTTTTTTTCTTGGGGCTTCTTTTCTTTTTTTCAGTTTTTATTTGTTTGGGGGTCACACCCGGCGATGCTCAGGGTTTAATCATGGCTGGCTCTGAACTCAGGAATCATTCCTGGTGGTGCAGGGGACCTTATGGGATTCCGGGGGTCAACTCTGGATTGGCAGTATGCAAAGCAAGCACCTACCATCTATGCCATCTCTCTAGACCCTCTGGGGGCTTTTATGTTTGTCTGTTTGTTTGTAGTTTGCCTCACAAAGGAGAGCTTGGGGTTTACCCTGAGCTCAGGAATCAGTCTTGGTGGTGCTCAAGGAACCATACGGCATCCCGGGGAACGAACCCAGGTTGGCTGCATGCAAAGCAAGCTCTGTCCCCAGTGGGGCTTGTTTTCACTTGGGAGACACACCCAGTGCGTCTCAGAGGCTGCTTCTGGCTCAGAGTGTGGGGAGGTCATTCCCTGTGGCGCTCAGTGTGCTGTGAGTGGCAGGAACTGATTGTGGCCTTGTGCCCACCCAGCGGACACTCCAGCCAGCTGAGCTATCCAGCCTGGAGATGCAGAAACCCCCTCCTGGAGAGAAGCCAAGTTGACTGTATTGGGAGAAACTTTATGCTTTCCAGAAGTCCTCAACAGAAATTATTATAAAGGTGGACAAGCATGCATTAAATCACTCCCGTTTACCTACTTCAAAGTAAATTATTCTTTCAGAAACAGGGGGAGGGTTTTTTCTTTTTCTAAGAAAAAGCTCCTCCTAAGTATTGGATAGTTTCACTTACTGCCCTCCCAGATTTATCGTCCTTTAGCCACCACTAGACTTGGAATGGTGGAAAGTCATTGTTGAGAATTTGCTAACAGGAATTTGAGGGTCCAAACTCCTACAAGTCAGGAACATGAAGAAGATGTCAGAACTTCCTGGGGGCTCTGAGCCCCGTGGCCTTCGTTGCCCTTCTCTCAGAACGTCTGACATTCAAAATATCAAAGATGGGAGAGGAATGGGTAGCTGACAATAGCTTCAGCTGGTTTTTTTTTCCCCCTTTGATTTTTGTAAAAGGACTTTGAAATATGCTGTGCTGGTTACAAACACTTTTCCATGATCGTTTCTCATTTGTTAAGGTCATAAATAAATACCACATGTTCTTAAAAATCAAAATAAGCAATTCATCTACTGCACATGAGCTTCTTAAAGTGCAACTGCCGTCAGCCCTCCACATGAGGTAATAATGTGCTGGCATTTTGTGTTTGCGTGAGATGGCATTGACAGGTAGGAAGTAATATTTGGTACCTTGCAAGACCTGAGACTAGGAGCACATCAAGAGCATGATGGTCTTGATGGCGGTAAAGCCTGAGTTCCCTCTGCAGGAGCTGGAGTTCCCTGGGCCGTGTGGTCACCTCCTCCCCAAACTGAACAGGCATGAGACTCATGGTTTCTAAGTCCCGTTCTTGGATTCAAAGCTGTCTGCTCTCTGAATGCATGTGACCAAACCCAGTTCTGTGTGTCCCCCCCATGGGATGCCAGCCCTGTGCCTCTCAGGGCTGACTCCTGGCTCTGTGCTCAGGGACTCACTCCTCAAGGGGTTCTGGCAACCATATGTGGTGCTGAGGATCAAACCCAGGTCAGGCAAGAGCCTTCCTGGGTACTATCGCTCCCTCTGCCTCTTGACCAGAAACCAAATGTGGCACTGGAGAGCTCAGTGCATAGGCAAGAGAGGCCCAGAGAGGCCCGAGCTCTGTGCTCAGGTCACTGGGTTCTGACGTAGTGTGGAGGGACGCCCTGCCCATGTTCATGAGGAAGTGTGTCCATCTGTGATGGTACAGGTGTGGGTGGGGGCCAGGCTGGCAGTGGAGAGGCGTATGGGTCAGGTCTGCTGGACCGTCTCTGATGCTCGGGTCTGTGTCTCTTGCACAGGAAGTCATCTCCTACTACTCCCAGTACTCCCTGGACGAGAAGATGCGGAGCCACATGGCCCTGGACTGGATCATGCGGGAGCGCGAGGCCCCGGGAACGCTCTCTGAGGAGCTGCGGACGGCCCTGCGGGAGCTGGAGCAGGCCAGGAAGGCCGGGCAGGAACTCCGGTTTTACAAAGAGAAGAAAGAGATCCTGAGCTTAGCCCTGACACAGATCTACAGTGAACCCGACGCCTCCTCCCCCAGTGACGACCAGCTGAGCCTCACAGCCTTGTGTGGCTACCCCTAGGGGGCTGTCACAGCTGGCACCTAGAAACGTGTGGGGACATACAAACAGACACACAGACTCACAAACAGAGACACACGGATACACACGGGGACACACATAGAGAGACACATGGATGCACACACAGACACATACGAGGACATAGAGACACAGACATACACAGGCATGTACAGATACACATGGGCAAACATAGTCATACACAAACACACAGACACATAGTGACTCAGACACATAGTTTCGCAGAGAGACACACAGACATACACAGACACACAGTCACACAGAGACACACAGACATGAAAGGGGACACACAGACACACATGAACCCAGACACACACATAGTAACATGGAGAAATACACAGACACATGGACACGCACAGATACATATGGACACACGCGGGGACTACAGACAAACACAGTCACACAGAGAGACATACAGACATGCACAAACACAGATACACATGGACACGTATGGAGACACACGGACACACACACAGACACATTCACACATAGACACACACAAAACACACAGACACACAGAGTCAGAGTCACATACAGACAGGCACACAAATACACACAGACACATGCATATGCACACACAGTCACAGACAGACAACCAGACACACACACACACACACACACACACACACACACACACACACACACACACACACACATTAATCCCAGGGATGGCAGAAGCCAGGATGACATCTGAAATCTCTGAAGGAAGTCAGTTGCTAGGGCCTTTGCCCCTAAGATTGGCTGAACCTGCCATTCCCTCTCCCCACCCTCACAGCTGTCACCCCTTCTACTCAGAGAATCTGAAGACAGTGCCTTTATAGTACCCGGTCGTCCTCCAACATACCACTGACTGGGAGGGTGGAGGCAGGATGGTTTGAAAACCATTTTCCAGACCTGGGCCCATCCTGAAGCCAGTTTGGCATGGGCCTCAGTAGATTGAGCATGTGGTTTCTGAAAGAATATGGTAGAGCAGCAACCCTTTAAAAAATGCCAGCCAGGACGGGGGCATTTATATTCCAGTATTATAGCAGGTTTTTATTTTTTTTAATCCTCGAGTTAAGTAAACAATAGGGATTATTTTTAAAGCTAACCAAAGGTTAGGGCTTCTTCATAAAGTTTATATACTAATAGATAGATTACATTTTAATTGGTATAGTCTAAATTGACAGCAGGAATTTTTTTTCTGGACAGCCCTTATCAATGGGCTAGGGTGATAGCACAGCGGTAGGGCGTTTGCCTTGCACGCAGCCAACATGGCCGACCCGAGTTCGATTCCTCCGCCCCTCTCGGAGAGCCCGGCAAGCTACCGAGAGAATCTCGCCCACATGGCAGAGCCTGGCAAGCTCCCCGTGACGTATTCGATATGCCAGACACAGTAACAACAAAGTCTCCAATGGAGACGTTACTGGACCCGCTCGAGCAAATCGATGAACAACGGGAGGACAGTGATACAGTGATACCCCTTATCAAAGGCCTTAATTGCTAATAGTATAAAAATGCAAATACATTTCATGTGGCTTAAAATACCATTGCAAGACTTTTTTTTAATGCTCTCTTTCACATGGTAATAAATGTTCTCTAGAATAGTGACCAGAGAGATAGGACAGCACAGAAGACACTTGCCTTGGCATGCAGCTAACTTGGATTCTTTCCCTGACACCACATTGACCCCTGAACCCTGCCAGGAGTGATCCTTGAGCACGGAGCCAGGAGTAAGCCCTGAGCACTGCCAGGTGTAGCAAAAACAGACCCTAAGAATGTGCCCTTTAATAATTCTTCAAGGATGAATATCTAATTTTTATGAGTACTGCAATCACAGATGCTTGTTTTTAATTTGAAAATATGACTTCAACTGATTTAGTTCTTATTTTTTCCCCCTTAGACATCATCTACTCTGGACAAACTTGCAGGCTATCGAATATAGCCTGCCCACAGGGCAGAGTCTGGCAAACTCCCCGTGGCGCACCAAATATGCCAAATACCAGTAACAATGATGGGTCTCATTCTCCTAAAAAGCCTTGAATATAATTTCAGGGCTAGGATGAAAGAGACGTTACTGGGGCCTGCTCGAGGCAATCGACGAATAACAGGATGATGAATGAAATGAATAACAGACATCATCTACAATGGGAAAGTTACGAGTTTATTTCAAACAATTTTGTGCATGTTATGGTTCTTGTATTTGGTTTCTCATGCATTCATGAGAATGGGAGCCATGTGGTACTGGAGATGGAGCTGGGGGTGGACACGAGCAAGTCAAGCACCTTAACCTTCTTGAACTCTCTCCGGCCTTGAATCATCTTTAAAGAAATAATATTTCAAATGGCTTGGCTCATTCAACAGAAGACCCAAAACAAATATAAACAACATGTAGATGATTGCTGGTCCCTTAAATTTAAGAATAGCAGCTGTCCATTTTAAACACTTACGAAATTCCATATCTGGAATATGAAAAGAACTATTCTGCATTTCGTTTGATTCAAATGATAGAAAATCATTCTCCTCAGTTTTATACAAGATTTCTTTTCCCCCCTTATTAAGGCATAGGCTTTTTGAAATCTAAAACCATTGTAGCTACATTAAAGTTCCGAAAATATGATAGTTTACTCTCATGTCTAAAGATACACAAATATAATTGTTACTCTTTAAATTCCCATGAAAACTACTACATACTAATCTAACATTTTGGAATTATTATTAATAATTAAACAAAAATGAACTTCATCATATTATTTACTCCAGTGGTAAATTTTAGCTGCATACTTACCCTATCATTGTGTCTTGAGATAATACTACGAATATTAGGTAAACTTTTTAAAATGTTGTTTAAATGAAAATTACATTCCTTCCCATTACAAAGCTAAATGTCACCATAAAAATAGCATCACTACCTTGTATTTCTTCAAAAGGAATTAAAATTGATAGCACAGCAGGTAAGGTGTCTGCCTTGCATGCAGCTGACCCGGGTTCTAGTCCTCAGTCCCTCTCATAGAGCCCAGCAAGCTACTGAGAGTATCCCACCCACACAGCAAAGCCTGGCAAGCTACCCGTGACATATTCGAGATATCAAAAACAGTAACAACAAGTCTCACAATGGAGATGTTACTGGTGTCTGCTCGAGCAAATGATGAACAATGGGAGGACAGTGCTACAATTATTAAGCCAAATGTCAAAGGAAATTTTGTTTAAAGTAAGTTTTTTTAAACTTTGGGTAGAGTAAGTAGCTGGTGGAGGGAAGTTGACACTAGTGGAGAGATTGGTGTTGAATTATTCTATTCCTAAAACTCAACATGTAGATCATGGTTCTTTAATAAAAATTTTAAAAGTAAATAAAAAATTAATCTACAAAAATCAGTTTTTCATAGTTCATCCATCGTTCTCTTCCTTCCTTCTTTCCTTCCTTCCTTCCCTCCCTCCCTCCTTCCTTCCTTCCTTCCTTCCTTCCTTCCTTCCTTCCTTCCCTCCTTCCTTCCTTCCTTCCCTCCTTCCTTCTCTCTCTCTCTCTTTCTCTCTCTGCCACACCTGGTGATACTCCTGACTCTGAACTCAGCATCACTCCTAGAGGGCTCAGAAGACCATAATATAGGATGTTAAGGATTGAACCCAGGTCAGCCGCACACAAGACAAGTGACTTATCTGCTGTACTATCTTTCCAGCCTCAGTTATTGTTCTTTGTATGATAATTGTGGTGGGGGAAAACCACCCACTTCCCATAGTAGGGGAGATACAGGACTCTGGCTAACTCCATCTCCCTAACTGCAATTGTAGGAAGAAGCTGAGAAGTCACAGATTTACACGCTGCCTTATAAATTGAAACCGGTACCCCCTCTGACAAAACAGCTTCTCCTAGGGCCATCATCCTAATCTTCCTGGGATGGTGTGGAAGCTATTGCAGAGAACCAAAAATCAGGTCAGTTTCAGCTAAGACATAATGGTTGTCATTATGACAGATGTATCAGTACATAATACAGATCTGTAACTTGACCCCAAGAACAGAGCTGAGGAGCAAAGCACCGTCTTATTGTTTTTCCTCTTTTCTTCTTCTGTATCCTTTTTAGCCACCCCCAGTAGTGCTGACGGATCAATCCTGGCAGTTCTCCGGGGGTTATAGATGGTGCCAGAGATTTATTGTTGCCCCGCATCAAGGCAAGCACCTTAACCCCTGTACTCATTCTTCAGCCCCTTTTCTTTTCTTTTCTTTTCTTTTCCTTTCTTTTCTTTTCTTTTCTTTTCTTTCTTCTTTTTGGGTCACACCCAGCAATGCACAGGGACTACTCCAGGCTCATGCACTCAGAAATTACTCCTGGCGGTGCTGGTGCTCGGGGGACCATATGGGATGCTGGTAATTGAACCCAGGTCGGCTGCATGCAAGGCAAATGCCCTACCCGCTGTGCTCTCTCTCCAGCCCCATCCAGCCCCTTTTCTTGTTCTCAGTCATGAAGAGCACGCTTCATAATGCCTGAAATGAAAACTCCCCTACTGATTGCTGGGTCCTCACATATGAGAATCTAATAAAAGTTGTGGACTTTATGCCAGGAAACGAGACTTAAATCCATACATTCAAAATTGTGGTATTTCTAGGGATATGTGGGTCTTCCCAGAGTTCAGGACTTGCTCTGTTCAGAACCTTAATTTAGAACTCAACATTTTAAGCCATGCTTTGGGTCACTCAGACTTTCAGCTGGATTCGAACCTACACCAGAAACAGTCCCCGGCCACCTATTTCTAGGACAAATGCCATCCACCTTATATGCAGAGTTGCACTGTTTCGATTAGAAATTCTGTTTCACAAAATCGGAATCACACAGATTATTATGGCTGGAAAAAATGACCTCAAGCAAACTAGACATTAAAGTTGTGGGAGGGACTGAAGTGATAGCACCGCGGGTAGGGCGTTTGCCTTGCATGCTGCTGACCTGGGTTCGATTCCCAGCATCCCATATGGTCTCCTGAGCACCGCCAGGAGTGATTCCTGACTGCAGAGCCAGGAGTAACC